AAAGCTTCCTTGGGGTTGGGCTGGAACTGACCACTCCAAAGAGAAGAGACCCCCACAGGAGGAGCAGGGGGAGCCTGTGAACACAAAGTACATGGAGCATGAGTTACGGACCAGCCATAGATCTGGGCCATATGCAACCAGTGGAAACTTCATGGGAGGCTCATGCACAGCCCAACAGACCCCTGGGTACACTGGGTACCAACCAGGTGTTATAGAGCCAATGGAGACATTGAAGAGACCCAAGATTCAATCAGGTACCAGCTGGGCATCAGGTATTAGCCAAGGATATGGTTCCCAGGAAGCCATTTCAAGGGAGACTAGGCACGAACCCAGGGGTACTGGCTCTTTGTTACACGCCAGCCATGGACCCAGGTCTCTTGGAACCAGGGGAAGGAACAGTAAGAGATCCAGCCCTATAGGCTCTGAAGGTTTCCCTCCGCCTGGCTTTGGGCCACCTGGTTCAGCTTGTGTTTATTGTCAGCTTGGGAGCTTGCCCAGCTCAGCAGTTCAGGGTCCAAAGGTCCTCAGCATGGCGGGGAGTGATCCCCCTCTTGAGGGAAGGGGGGCCTGTGCAAGGTCTAGCCATTAACCTCTCCCTCTCCGCAGGGTGTGGTATGGAAATCTGAGCAGGTTAGTTGCCCCCTCACATCCTGGTCCCAATCTGGGGGTTACTTGGGAAGTGGGGTCATTACGCTCCTCCAAAATACACTCATTCCCCTTCCCTGGAAGGAGATCAGCCGGGGGATTCAAACACTGCACCACTTCTAACAGGAGGATTAACGGGGTAATAGTGTGACATGGATTTAACCCCGTCCACCTCTCATCCTTCCCCAAGGAGTTGGACCCTTCAGTCCTCTCCCCCATAAAGATGCCATCACCTCCCTCCCCAGGCCAGATTGGCAGCACTCACATGTTCTTAGTCTTGTCTGATGTGTGTATGTCTCTCTCTCTCTCCCTCCAAGCGCTCTAACCAGGGCTTGCGAGTTGTAACCAAATGCAAACTCTTAACCCTGCCAGATCTAATTCAGCGAGGTGGGGGAAGACCGAGAGGAGAGGGAGGGAAGAGAGACAGTTAGGTTACAAAGCGATTGACATCATGAATGAGTTTCATTAGCCCACATTCTGCTGCCCTCTGCTGGCTCTTTGCTGGAACTGTGGCCATGAACTTTTTTTTTTTAAGCAAGATCCATCCAACAGAGTTGTACACATTTGTGTGTGTGTGTGTGAGTGTGTATAGCTAAGGTTGCTCAAGAGACACTTAACTGGAAATTTCCCTATATTAAAGTGAAATTTTGGAGGGAGTTTTGTTTTTAACAGTGTAATAAAAGGAAAAAGAAATAGGATTTGTGTTCTCCCCGCCCTTTGTTTTGGGGGCATTTTTCTGATGTGGGAAGAAGGCTTGAAATTTTATTCTTAAAAAGTTTAAAAAACTGCTTCTTTTTACCTTAGAAATATCAAAAATGCCAGGTCTTTGCCTTACTGTTTTGCTGAAGAACTCCTTAGCGGTGTGAATCAGCAGCTTCCTTGATGAGGAAACAGGAGTGTTAAATCTTTAACAAAGAGAAGTTTTCTTTCAGCTGTTTCTTCGACATTTGTGTTAAATAGGTGTTAATAATAACAAACAAAGCCCAGAGAGTTTAAAACACTATGAATACCAATACTTTCCTCTCTCCCAGTTAGGCAGGCCTCTCTGGTTGTTCTGCAGTTGTCTATAGTCTTCCAAGGGAAACAGGATGTACAAGAACTGAATTATGAATGTGAAAACAAACAGCAAAAACAAACAACTTTTCAGGCTTTCTTCATACAGTAGGGAAGAAGGCTCAAGCCCAATATTATTGTTCCTCTGCACATGAGTTTAGATTCTCCTGGCTTTCTGATGCTGGGGGTCTCTAAAATGACAATGATGTCTTACAGGTTTTTCTTTAAAGACACCGATACTTCTCAAGCATAGCACTATTTTTCTGGGAATCAGAGTAAAGAGTTCAAGTCTATGAAAAGAGTCACAACAATGAAATAATGTAACAATAATAAATGTTGGAAGCATTTCAAGATGTTTATACATGTGTATTTAAGGCTGTAGAGAAACTTACATTATATATATTGTTATATTGTCTGAAAAAGAACATGTGACTGTGTAATTAATTACTCTCATAATAATGTACACACATGGGACCAGAGTTAAGGTTAAATGGGCAATCTTCACTCCGGGATTTCCTGACTTTTGAGTGCTTTGCTGTGCATGATGCACATTCTCAGGCAGCCCCAATCAAGGCCCTGGAGGGAAGCTCGCTGGCACAGGATACCATCAGGAACGAAGCTCACAACCAATGGGCACAATCTGTATGGAAGTTTTAAGCCATAGGACACTGCTAAGAGAGAAACTTATAGCAACAGGACACCAGTAGGAGGAAAGCTCACAGCGACAGGGCACCAATGGAACACAGTTTAGGGTCATAGGGCATTATTTGCAAGGAAGCTTGTAGCTATAGAGCATCAAAGATAGCAGCTGTTTGCAGGGAAGTTTGTTGCCACCAGACACGACTGACAAGGAACCTTGTTCCCCCAGGGCACCGCTGGGAGGGAGAGTGATAATACCCATGGGAATGGCACCCATAGGACACTGTGTGACAGCCGCTCGTAACATAACATCTGGGTCTACCACACTCTTACAAAGGAACGTCATTATGTGAAATTCAACGGTGTGGGAAACTGCTGCCAACTGTGTGTGTGGAAGAAGTCTAAGACTAGAATGGGGGCGGGGGAGGAAAGTGTGTGTGCTACAAGTCGGGACTGGGGTTTACACGTGTATAAAGAAGGCAGAAATGTTTCAGTACTCTCTTTTGTGGCCTCAGCATGCCATGGGTATGAGAATCTATTTGCATGTGGCTGTCATGCCATATCACTTCCATGGGCATAACTGTCTTTACAGTTACGGTTACAGCTCCTAACTCTCTCTGTTCACATGTGTGCTTAGCATTGACATTCTTCTCATAGGCTGATGGTTTCCCTGCAAAGCAGCTGTCTGGGAAATGCTGGTTTTGAGGTCAGCTGTTGGAGAGAACATGCACTTTCCAGCTTAAAGAATCACTTATTTTTTGTTGAGGGCACAAGTTACCCTGAAAATTCTCCAGAAGCTTAATTTTCCAGACATTGCTGGGCTCCCCCCAGGGACCTCCTCCCTCTGAGGCACTGCTATCAAATGAATCTTTTCCCCTATAGGAAACTTTCCCTTCCACCCCTGTACTCCTCACCCTTGGATTGCAGGGAGTGGCTATGAGCAGGGAGTGATGGGACAGCCAAGGTGAGGCAGATAAAGTGAGGAAGAAGAGTCCATCGCGGAGGGCATGGGGACCAGTTCCAGTTTTCCTCCTTCAGTGGGAAGAACGGTACTTCCAGGGTTGCCAACTTTTGGAATGCTGTAATAGAATGAGTCCCATGAATTTAACATTTATTTTAAAGCCCCAGCTCCTGGGGTCATGTGTCTATGTGAGACTCTCACCTTTTGTTTTAAATAAGTGAATTCTAATTTCTAACCCTTGGTGTTGCAGGGAAAAGCTTGGAAATGTGACCCCTAAAGGTACAGAATCCAAAAAGCAAATACAGAGAAAACATTTATTATTGTATAAAATCCCATGACTTAGAATCCCTGTGATTTTGGGGGGTCTAACTCATGATTTTTGACTGCTTGGGCTGGTAATGTTGCTTCCAAGATGGTCTTTGGTTCCAGTCCAGTTCCAATCCAGAGAGGGACTCACAGGTTAAGAGAGGAGGGAGGTGCTGGATATCAGCAGTGGCTACTAGGGATCAGCATGTGTCCTGAGAATGCTGGGAGTTCAGGTTTGCAGGGCAGGATTACTCTCCTTCTGGTGAATGGGGCAGAGATGTGCTGACCATGGAACCCTAACTTCCTTCTGACCATGAGAGGTCTGGCCCCTGCCCTATCTCCCCCCCCCCCAATCTGAAGGGAGTCCAGAGGGGCCCCACAAGGTGAAGGTAGACACGGAATCGCTCAGGCAAGGCAAGCCCTAGACCCCTCTCTGCATCAGCTGCTGCACAGCCCTGCCCCTGGGGGTGAGGGAGATTCACTTCCCATTTGGGCCCAGGTTCCCCCTTCCATCTGGAAGTTCAGCCAAGCAGTCACTCCACCTTTCTTCACCCCTCCCCTCTGGCTGGGATACCAGAGCTCTTATTCTGAAATGATCTCACTGAAACCTGAAGCCACATTACCCTCCCACGCCACAGACAGACCTCTCTCACTTCCCCACCCCCATGATCTCCCTCCTTCTTTCCCTTCTCACACTGATTGGGACCCCCCTCATCCCCACAGACTGCCCCAGCCATCAGAAATTCCCCCTCGCTTTTATTGTCCCCTCCCCTCACTGCAGACAGATCTAGGGCTCCCTCCGCTGTGGAATTCTCCTGTGGATGGGTCTCAGCTTGTCCGCACAGCACACCACCATGGAGCACTAACCCTTGGGGTGTACCTGGCCTCAGCTTTTCTCCCAGTGCTAAGGAGTAGGGACCAGAACGGAGAACCAAATCTGGGTCTCCCACATTGCAGCACAGGGCCAAGGCACTAACCTTTAAGAGACACCAAAACCAATTCTGCAGGGCTCCCAGTCAGGGCCAGCTCCAGCTTTTTTGCCGCCCCAAGCGGCGAAGCAAAAAAAAAAAAAGATAAAGCCGATCGGCAGCACTTCGGTGGCAGCTCAATCGCGCCGCTTCATGAGGGACCTGCCGCCGAAGACCCGGACGTGCTGCCCCTTTCCATTGGCCGTCCCAAGCACCTGCCACCAAATTGCTGCCGAAGACCTGGATGTGCCTCCCCTTTCCATTGGCCGCCCCAAACACCTGCTTCCTTCGCTGGTGCCTGGAGCCAGCCCTGCTCCGAGTCCCCAGAGAGTGAGAGAGTGGGCTGGGGAATGTAAGCTGGGTGTCACATGCTTTGGCACCTAGATGCACGATGAATGTAGATGGCAATAAGGAAACACAATGCAACAGAGGTTTTGGCCACTTGTATTTTTTATCCCAAAGTGTGTGTGTGGTGGGGGGGGGGCAGATTTGATAGCTTTGGTCTTGACTCTGCAATGAAACTAGTTCTGTCCAAATGGGTTAGTGCTCAGTACTGGGAAGGTGTTGTGGTTACTTCACTTTCTGGAAGATCTGTACACAAACTTCATCTTCTGCTGTCATGTGCTGGGAAGAAGAAAGGGAGGGAGGGAGGGAGGGAGATAAAAGAAGAGACTTTGGTCAGATCTGCCAGGGCTTCTCAGTTCCAACCCACAGTTCCCATGCTTTCTAGTCCTGGCTCCCCCCCCCCACACACACAGCACTGCCAATCCCTCTCAAACCTGACCCACACCAACCTCCCTGCTATTCCAGTCCTGGCTGCCACCTGCACGCAGCTCTGCCATAATTCTGCCAGTGCCTCAGAGTCCTTACCCACAGCCTCCCTGCTAATGTACTCCTGCCCCCCATGCTGCTCTGCCAGTGCCCCATAGTCATTACCCACAGCCTCTCTGGTATTGTATTCCTGCCCCTCACCCCACGCAGCTCTGCCAATGCTCAATAGCCCTTACCCGCAGCCTCTCTATATTTCCCTTTTCTCTTTGGGCCTTAAGAGGTTTTGCTGAGGTTTTAGTGTCACACATAGGAAACCTTGTGTCTGATTCATCTCTTCCCTTTTCCTCTCACAAAGCCCCAGGAGCTATGGTGGAATTTCAGGGCAGGGCAGGGACATTGGCCGATTCACACTGAGCTCAGCCTAGTCAACTTTTGAACCCTACAGGAGGATGTTTGTGTGAAGTGGCCGTTGCCCCTGAGAAACCATGCATAACTATGGGGCCTAGCTTGGGATCCAAGGCGGGGAGGAATGATCATCCCATTCTGAGCCGCTGACATTCCCCTAGTGCAGTGGTTCCCAAATTTTAACAACCTGTGAACCCCTTTCACTAAAATGTCAAGTCTCGTGAACCCCCTCCTAAAAATGAATATTTCCAGGGATTTTCTCTTTTACCTGAACATAAATTATAAAAGCATTGATCTTGGAAATATAAAATTTGTTTTTATGACATGCTCATTACATGCTATTTATTATTAATTATTATTTATCATTACAGTATTTTTATTACATTATGAAAACGGTAACACTCTTCCAAGATCTCACTTTCGTAGCTTGTATCACTTTGAATAAGCCTGTTATAACACAAGGCTCCTATGTTTCATCCAGGAGTATCAGATGTGAAACAGCATGAAGATATTTAAGAAGCCAACTCAAAGAGTTCCTCCTACACAAGCATTCAGGTCTCAAGCAGTCCAGGCAAACAACGATGTCACAACAAAGCTTAAACTTGTTCTCCATAATAATTTTGAAAACAATACTAGCTGCCTATTTAATTTTAAAAACAGCAAAAAATATCCACCTCCCTTTCCATTTCTTATAAGTAGTCTTGAAGTTTAAATCTCCTCAGATATGCTTGTCTTGATCTGCTTAGTTCTTGGAAGTCCAGGGGCTCCGGGCTGCTGGCCCAGTGCTGCCAGGGTTCCCTAGGGACAGTTCTGTCCGCCATTAGGGAATTTTTTTCCCTCGAGAACTCCCTGTAACATTTTGCGAACCCCAGTTTGGGAACCACTGCCCTAATGAATCCCCTCTAGAGACTTCACTTTCTGGGGTGTTAGTGTGCCACACCCTGCTCAGAGCTCCTTCTCACCAGATGCAGATAGTCCCCCTCCAGCCAGTGCCTCCAGCCCCGGTTCCTCTTCTCTCCTTGCTGCTCACACACCAGCTGATCCCCTTCCCAGGAGATGACTGTCTGAAAGGGGAGAGACAGGCAACACTGTCAGGCATGGGAAAAGGCCTTGTCTTCTTCTTTGTACTGTCACCTTTCTACACTGACCCACTACCTGCCCCTTTCTCTAAGACATTTTCAAATGCAGCTCCTGTTTTGAAGTTTTTTTTGGTTATGTTCCTAACTTTAGACCCCTTGGGGCTGTTTGTCATGTATGCTGAGCAACCTCAGTATCTTATAAGGTCAGACATTTCATGACATGCGATGAACTTGTTTGTTCCAGTGGATAAATCTTCTGACTTTCTGATTTTTTTCAGGGCATTGCTGCAGGGGGACAGATTTAAGGGTATCTGAATACTGAAATTTTAGACTTCTGGGCTCCATTGTATATTTAACCTTAATTCTCAATTCCCTGCTCATCACACGTATTCATCATTAGACCTGAATACATTAGCTATTAGCCCGTCAGACTCAGCATAGCTCTGAGCTGGATTCTACTCTGGCTCCTGCATCAGAAACAGGATTGTTCTGATTATTAGGTAAAGCCCTAGCCACTGGCCACAGTCAAGCTACCCTTTAAGTCACTGGCCTATCCTCTTAGCCCTCTCACCTGGCACTTGCGTCCATCCACTGGCCCCAGGTCCTCTTCAAACTCCTTTCCCAGGTCAAAGTCCATGATGTAATTGCGCAGTGAGGTGATTGTGCGGATGGTCATGTGATCTCCAGCATGGATTATCTCCTTGTCTGGCTTCAGGAGGCAAACCAGTTTTCTCAGGGCCACATTAATGTCTAGATGGGATGAGGTGGAGGGAACAGATAATGGGTTGTTGGCAGCAGTGAGCTTCCCATAGCAGTGCCATTCACTGCTCCTTCTTGGTTCTCTTGCTACATTCTCCTCAATGACCCTCACTGCCCCATCAATACATTTCATTCCCTTCTCCAAGCATGCTCCACCTCCCCCATTCAGACTGCCTACCCCTCCTGCACAGACTGGTGGGTGTGCAAGGCTACAGACTGTGTTCAGAGAGTTTAGGGCCAGAAAGTCCCACCAGATCATCTAGTCTGACCTCCCATGTATCACAGGCCACCAACACCACTCAGCACCCACATACTAAACTGGACAACCAAAATTAGATCAAAGTATTACAACTGTCAGGAGACTAGACTGTTGTGTGCCACAGGCAGAGAATAGGAGGGACCGAGGTGCACCACCTGTGTCTGAGGCCCAACAATGGCAGGGAAGTGATTATGTGAGAAATATCAGGATAATCCTGGCTAGTGACCCACAGCCACATGCTGTAGAAGAAAGCAGCCCCCTCCCCTCCAAGGTCACTGCCAAGCTGACCTGGGTGAAGATTCCTTCCTGACCCCACATAAGGCAATCAATTGGACCCTGAGCATGTGAGAAAGAACCAACCAGCCAAGCATGTGAGAGAGAATAATCAATGCTACCTCAGAGCCCTCACCCACCCCATGTGCAACCTCCCTTCTCCAGCTGGGGCCATCTCTGATGCTTAGGAGGAAGGAGACAAAAAAGCCTCAAATCCCAGAATACGTGTGTGGGGAGTGGGGGGGAGGTTTCTCTTCCTGACCCCTGTAGGTGACTGGCTGAAACCCGGAAGCATGAGATTTTAGGAAGATCAGACATAAACCAGAAGGGAACCCAGGGCTGCCGAGCCCTGCTCTCCACCATCACAAACAACCCATCATACAATCCCTTTTAAATTTCTCCAGCTCTTTCTAAAAACTAATTGTTTGTTTCCCCCACCTCCAACTCCAACTCCTGCTGGGAAGCTGTTCCAGAATCTCACTCCTCTGATGCTTAAAGTCAAAGATAGAGGGACAGGCGGCGCGGGGGTCGAAAAATCCCAACGCCCCCCCCCCCTTGGGGTGCCCTGGGAGGTGACATCTTTGGAGAGGGAGGGGTGGAAAAGATAGGAGGGGGGAAGCAACCAGGGAAGGGTGTGGTTACCTAAAGCCCGAAGGTAACCGTCCATGTTGTCTTGGGAGACGAATCGGTAATAGCCGGTCAGATTGGGAGGCATCACAGGGCAGATGGGCAGAATTGATCGTTGGAATGAGACACGGGAAGGAGAACAGGAGAGATGAGACCGAGACAAAGCTGGGGACCTTGGACTCCCTCCTCCTCGTTGGTCCCTTTCCTGCTTTCTCTCCCTTAGTCTGGTGTGTGGGGAGGGGGTTATATAGCAGCCCCATGGACAGGCGTCTTGCTGCCGTAAGAGTCCTATGGTTCCTTACCGGGGAACACAGAAAGGGCTGGGGCTGGCTGTGTTCCTGGCACCTCCACTTCCGTGTGGGAAGGACCAAGGGGAGCAGCAATCAATCGGACACCAGGCTGAGCTTCCCCGGCCTTTCCACACTGGAATTTTTAACTCATTGGTGCCAATCAGGAAGTGTCTGGCGAGCGTCCTCTCTCCATAATTCGGACAGAGTGAGCTTCCTCACAGCAGTGCCCAGTCACTGCCCATCCCGGGAGACACCCCGGCAGCTGTGAACTTCCTCACAGCAGTGCCCAGTCACTGCCCATCCCAGGAGACACTCCCTAGCAGGTTGAGCTTCATGACTGCTGTGGCCTGGACTGCTGACTGAGTCTGGGGGACCATGGAAAAGTGGATGGCAAGGCACCCATACTCGCTGCCGCCCCACTATTGCGGCCCCTCCCAGCGCAGGTGCCCCCCACCCTTCACACACAGCTCACTGAAGCTCTACCACTGCCTCTCAGCACTACCCGGCAGCACCCCTGTTATTTCAATCCAGCCCCCGCACCGCACTACCAGGGGCTCTGGAACAATTTGTGTAGTGGGGGTGCTGAGAGCCATTGAACCAAACTGTAACTCTGTATAGGATGGAAACCGCTTCAAGCCAGGGGGTGTGCGACAGCACCCCTAATTCCAGCACCTCTGCCCCTCACTCCCAGGCACTGCTCCCCCAGCCTCCTCGAGCTTGCAGCGAGGAGGAAAAGATTGGCTCCCACCCCTGTGCCTCGCCTCCCCATCATTGGTCCCTTCCCCCCCTGCAGCACCTGGCTCCCGCGCCCATCGCATTGGCTGCTGGCGCCCATCAATCAGTTCTGGGCTCTGCTGACATCATGCTGCAGTAGAGGGGCTGGGGCAGGGAGCTGAGAAGTGCGAGCTCGCTCCATCCCTCCGCGCTCCGAGGAGCTGCGAATCTAGCCAGCCATCTGTTCCGAGCTCTGCGGTTCGGCGTCCGGCCCTCCGCCCCACGGAAGCTTGAGAGGAGTGAGAGCGCGGAGGGGCGGCTGCACATCACCCCGGAGCAGGTGGGAGCCGACTTCCAGGATGGGCTGCCCGCGGCCCCTCGCCTCCCTCTTCTTCCTATGTGCCTTGCTCCTCGGCAGTTTCTGCAACAAAGGTGAGTGGGAGCCCCCCCAGGGCCAGGTGGGAGCCCCCCAGGGAGGTGGGGTCCCTCCGGATTGTGGGCTGGAACGCAGCGGTCGGGAGCCATCTGCTTTCCAGTCATGTCAAGAGATGACACGCAGCTGCGATCAGCTCATCTGATCCATCTCCTGGCGTGGCAGTGTCTCCAGCTCTCAGCTTGGTGCTGGGCGCTCTGCAGGATCCCTGGTTCTCTCTGTTCATTCCTCCGGTTCCTGCTCACATTGTCACTCTAGTTCTGTTACCTACTTTCCCTCTCTGTCTCCCTAGCTCTTTCCAGCTCTTTCTCACGCTCTCAGGTCGCCTAGTTCTTCCTTCCTCCGAGTTTAGTTCTTCAATTCTTTCTCTCCCCACATATCCTTCCTTTATTTCAGCTCTCTGGTTGAATGTACCTTGCCTTTTGTTTCTGTCTGTTGAAATATAACATGTAAAATAATTGAGCTATCCAGCACCACACAACATGCCTCTATCTCCATCCTTTGATCCTAGATTTGTTTCTCCAGCATCTGTCTATATGATTAACTTACATGGAAATATGTAACCTATGGGCGTTGCATATAAGAGTGAGAGTATTTTTTGTGCTAAATATGGGGAAACCAACCCTATAACTCATACATTCTGAGCACAGATGTTGTCCAAAAAGACATACAGAGAGAGAGGGTACGAGATCTATGGCTGTAGGCACAGATGAGGAGAGAGAAAAAATAAGAATAACTTAATAGGGCAGAGTGGCATACAAGGGGGCAGAAGGGATGCCTAGGAATGGGGAGTTCTAGACCCCATCGCTCCCCATTGGAAGATGCAGAGCTGGTTCTGGTTACTGGGTGCAGAGCTGTGTGTGTATCGGTTTTGGAGGGGGTAACCCCCTTATTATTATTATTTGTACTGCAGTAGCACCTAGGGGTGCAATCATGAATCAGAGCCCCCTTGGGCTATGTGTCCTCCATTTTCCCTGTGAACTGTACCGTCCAAAGCATGCATCCACCTCTAACAAGTGACTTTACCTCCCATGGGATCTTCTTGAAGGTGGCAAGAGCCTTCCTCTGCCCCCAAACCTTCCTATGATTCCTGGAGACTTCCCTCCCAAGAAATCATCCTGGTGCCTTCCAATTGACGGAAGGATGCAGTCAAGATTTATCCCTCTACCATCAGCTTGTTGCCCCAGCAACAGGGTGTACCTGTTTATAAACCAGAACCTGGCTCAGAGTGGAACGGGATGGGGGCTTTTCTGTGGGAGGGTATGGGGAGGTGTGGAATTGCACACAGAAGGGGGTCCCAGTTGCATACTGATGAGAATAAAGGGACAATGATTGTTTCTCTGGATTTCAGCATAATGCTGCATTAATCAGTATGGTGAGATATAAATCCTAACTCACAGCCTTTCCTGCTACGCAGACTGGATGTCCCCTTTTGATGCATCTTAGTGCTGATCTGGAGCCCCGCTTGCTGCCTGAGTCCTGGACTCTCTACTCACAGTTCTGCCAAGGCACCTCAATTCTGATCTGTGGAAATTAGTGGCTGACTCTTATAGGGGTCACTCTGAGTCAGTACTGATCCCAATGCCCCAACATGGTGCAAGGCAGAGCTCTGCTGCAGGAAAGGACCCCTATATTAGAAATGGTGCCCTTAAGGTGATAGGACAGAGTGGCATATCCTTTTCCCCAACCTCTCTGAGACCATGCTGTGTGGTCAGAGCATTGTTTGGGTGTGACTGTATCCTTGTCTCCCTGGATGGGGTAGGATTAGCTGGGAGATGGGGGTTGAAACTAGGCCATTGCACTATAATCCCCAAGACCCATTCAGCAGGGATTGGATAGTGGAGAGGCGGTGTTCATTTGTAATGATTTTCCTTCTCCCTCTCACTCCCTTCCTCCTCCTTTCTCTCTTTCCCTGCCCCGGAGCTTGTGTGATAAAGATTAATTTGCTATTTCTGGGCCTGTGACATTTTTCAGAGCCTCCTGCCGGCTGCTGTCTCGGAGCTGAGTCTGGCCAGGCTCCAGCCAACGAGATTAGCACTCCGGGCAACAAGGAGGGGCCAAGGGAATATGGGACATGCCATGGAGCCAGGGATGAAGGAGAAAGGGACTCAGGAAATGGGACATATGTATGGAGAGAGCAGCACAGAATAGCTATTCTGGAGCCCTTCAAACCCTGGCCCCATAAAGGGGTGGGGCAGAAGTGGTCAGGTTGCTCCTTGGGAATATTCCCTATGGAGACCCTAAGGGTGGCTCTGTCCTCTAATAGTGACTTTATTAAGCCGGGGGCAGGGTGGGATTTAGTTAATTGAATCTCTCCTCAGAACTTGACTCCTCCAGCCTCTGGAGAGTTGCTGTGGTTCTTGTCTGAGATCCCTCCTAGGAATGAGGGCCCCAGGACAGAGCACAGTATTCTCAGTGGAAGTTCTCCAGAGCCACATAGAGAGGGACTATCCTTCCCTGCCCCTTATCAGTCTACTTGGGGCCTCCTTTATTTCAGGGTTGAGCGTGGTGCCCCCAGCCTGCATCTGGGGGGCCATTAGCTCTATAATTGTGTCTAACTCATTCATGTCCTCCCATTCCTGTACCCCCAAACCCCCTCAGCAAACAAGCACAAACCCTGGATTGAGGCTGAATACCAGGGCATCGTCATGGAGAATGATAACACAGTCCTGCTCAACCCACCGCTATTTGCTCTGGACAAGGATGCACCACTGCGCTATGCAGGTACCTGGGTAACAGGGTTGGAGGAGAGATGGGGAGGACAGAACCAGAAAGAGAGAGAGGATTGGATTGTCGCTCAGCACAGAGACTGATTGCTTTACAACACCTCTGGCAAGGGCCCCAGTACAGGTTAGAACAGCGTATGGGCTGCCCTAACATGCACCAGTTGCCAGTGGTCCTGGGAGCCTTTCTTAAAGCCAGGAACACCCTGGTCAAGGCTCCTGCTTCCTCTAGGAATGCCCTGCACTGGGGGCTTCTGCAGAGGATGATCTACCCTGGTAATGGGTGCCAGAGCTGGCATAAAGAAGCCAGGAGATAAGCATGAATCCACACCCAGGGAGATAAAGATGGGAGCGTGAGAAGGGAATGGGTGAGGAAGAAAGGAAAGAGGGTGTTCACACGTTGAAATGGTGGGAGGGGAAGTGGGGGGGGACAGGGAACATAAGAACGGCCATACTGGGTCAGCTGAAAGGGCCATCTAGCCTAGTATTCTGTCTTCCGATAATGGACAATGCCAGATGCCCCAGAGGAAATGAACAGAACAGGTAATCATCAAGTGATCCATCGCCTGTCGCCATTCCCAGCTTCTGGCAAACAGAGGCTAGGGACACCATCCCAGCACATCTTGGCTTATAGCCATTGATGGACCTATGCTCCATGAACTTCTCATTCTTTTTTGAATCCTGTTATAGTCTTGGCCTTCACAACATCCTCTAGCAAAGAGTTCCACAGACTGTGCGTTGTATGAAAAAAACCTTCCTTTTGTTTGTTTTAAACTTGCTGCTGTTAATTTCATTTGGTGACCCCTAGTTCTTGTGTTATGAGAAGGAGTAAATAACACTTCCTTATTTACTTTCTCCACACCAGTCAAGATTTTATAGACCTCTATCATACTCCCCCTTAGTCATCTCTTTTCCAAGCTGACAAGTTTGGAAGAGGGACAAGTTGCAGAGAGATGGTGAGGAGTGGTGTGGATGGGCAAGGACTGGGTGGCAGGGGAAGGCAACTCCCTGCTGTCCTCATTGGCCTGTTCCTCTTTCCCTTTCTGTCTCTTCCCCCTCTCCTCCCCTGCTCTGGGGGGCACCAGGTGAGATCTGCGGCTTTCGGATCCATGGGGCAGGGGTGCCCTTTGAAGCTGTGATCCTGGACAAGGCCACGGGTGAGGGGCTGATCCGAGCCAAGGAGCCGATGGACTGCGAAGCGCACAAGGAGCACACCTTCACCATCCAAGCATACGACTGTGGAGAGGGACCTGATGGGACCAACACCAAGAAATCCCACAAGTGAGGCAGGAGTGGGTGGCTGTGGTGGCTGGAGCCTACCTCTTAACCTGCCAAAGCCCAAATGGGGCATTCAGTGTGTCACAGAGATCCAATATGAGCGGGGCGGGGACACAAATTGCTGTGGGATTCTTTCCTCCAGTGCGAAGAACTCTTTCTAGAGCCTCCAGTTCACCAGTCTGCATTTTTTATGTCAATCATTTCCAATATTAAAAATGAGGGGAAACCAAGTGTGTGTGGACTGTCAGTAACTATGGGGCTAAAATGAGTGACACCTTTGAAATGAGAGATGTCTGAGAGCTGTGTCCTAGGGGTCAGTGCTTTGTGCTGCTGTATAGGCAGGAACCCCAGGGTCCATTACTAAGAACATAAGAATGGCCATACTGGGTCAGATGAATGGTCCATCTAGGCCCAGGACCTGTCTTCCGACAGTGGCCGGTGCTAGATGCTGCAGAGGGAATGAACAAAACAGGGCAAATTTATCAAGTGATCCATCCCTTGTCATCCAGTCCCAGCTTCTGGCAGTCAGAGCTTTAGGGATACCCAGAGCATGGGGTTGCATCCATGACCATCTTGGCTAATAGCCATTGATGGACCTATCCTCTATGAACTTATCTAATTCTTTTTTGAACTCCATTATAGTTTTAGCCTTAACAACATCCCCTGGCAACGAGATCCACAGGTTGACTGCACATTGTATGAAAAAGTACTCTCTTGTGTTAGTTTTAAACCTGCTGCCTATTAATTTCATTGAGTGACCCCTGATTCTTGCATTATGTGAAGGAGCAAATAATACTTCCTTAATCACTTTATCAACACCATTCAGGATTTTATAGATCTTTATCATATCCCCCTTTATTCATCTCTTTTCCAAGCTGAATAGTTCCAGTTACTTTAATCTCTCCTCGTATGGAAACTGTTCCATACCCCTAATAATTTTTGGTGCCCTTTTCTGCACTTTTCCCAATTCTAATATATCTTTTGAGATGGGGTGACCAGAACTGCACACATTACTCAAGATGTGGGCGTACCATGGATTTATATAGAGGCATTATGATATTTTCTGTCTTATTATCTACCCCTTTCCTAATGGTTCCTAACATTTTGTTAGCTTTTTTGACTGCTGCTGCACATTGAGTGAATGTTTTCAGAGAACTATCCACAATGCATCCAAGATCTCTTTCTTGAGTGTTAATTTAGACCCCATCATTTTGCCAGCTCACTCTTCACCCCTTTTCCAGATAATTTATGAATATGTTGAATAGCACTGGTCCCATTACAAATCCTTGGGGGATGCTGCTACTTACCTCTCTCCACTGTGAAAACTGACCCTTTATTCCTACCCTTTGTTTCCTGTCTTTTAACCAGTTATTGATCCATGAAAGGACCTTCCCTCTTATCCCATGACAACTTACTTTGCTTAAGAGCCTTTGGTGAGGGACCTAGTTAAAGACTTTCTGAAAGTCCAAGTGCATTGTATCCACTGAATCACCCTTGTCCACATGTTTGTTGACCTCCTCAAAGAATTCTAATAGATTGGTGAGGCATGATTTCCCTTTACAAAAGCTGTGTTGACTCTTCCCCAACAAATTGTGTTAATCTATGTGTCTGACAATTCTGTTCTTTACTATAGTTTCAGCCAATTTCCATCCCAGTCTGTCTCTCATGAGAGAGGCTGGCCCAGAGCCCCCTAGAGGTCAGTGCTGCTGTGTGGGGACCCAAATCTCATTCTCTGTCCTGGACTTTAATTCTTTGAGGGCTGGGATGAGGCTGGTATCCACTAGGGATCAGTGCCTTGGTCTGTCTTGCAGAAGACCTAGGTTTCATTCCCTAACCTGGTCTCTTGCTTCCTCTATCACTGCCTCGTCAACCAGCTGCTTATTCATCTCTGTCTCCATCAGGGCCACCGTGCACGTGCGGGTGAATGACGTGAATGAGTTTGCTCCGGTCTTTGTGGAGAAGTTATACCGTGTGGCAGTGACCGAGGGGAAACTCTATGACCGCATCCTGCGGGTGGAGGCCATTGATGGAGACTGCTCCCCCCAGTACAGCCAGATTTGCTACTATGAGATTCTCACCCCCAACATCCCCTTCCTGATTGACAATGATGGTGAGAACCTGCCTCCGTATACCTCTGAGACCACAGTTCACTCCATGTGCCCCCTGCCATCTCTGCCTGGTCCATTCCTCCATGTATGTGTGCTGTGTGATCCTTTTAGCTTTCCTTGCATTCCTCAGCCATCTGCCTTGGAGAAGAGACAGCAGCCCTTTTGTGTTCAGAAGTGTTTCAGCATATTACAGAGCAACACAAAATGACATTGCATGAGGACTTAACTTTTTGATTCTGCCTCGTTTGTTATTGTGATGAATCAACAATAAACCTTATTTTAGAATGAGACTCTCCTTATGCATTGTGAGTGGGAAAACAGAGCAATGCTCTGCTAAATGTACATTTCTCTTTCCTTCTCACTCTGTCTTCCTCTCCCTTTTTCTCTTTTCCTGTCTCTTGACTCTTGTCTTTCTTTCATTCTCTCTCTGTCTGTCTCAGTCTTTCTGCTCCCCTAATCCCTGTGTCTCTCTCTACCAGGGAACATTGAGAACACAGAGAAGCTGCAATACAGTGGAGAGCACCTATACAAGTTCACAGTCACAGCCTACGATTGTGGCAAGAAGCGGGCATCTGATGATGCTGAAGTGGAGATCCAAGTGAAGCCCACTTGCAAACCCAGCTGGCAGGGTATGAAGCCTCCTCTCCCACTCAGCTCTTACCATGACCTCCTTCTCACTGCTAGCCCCTCCCATCATGGCCCAGCTACCCCACCCATCCCACCATAATCCTACTCGGTCACCCTATCCCCTTCCTTCTCATACCCTAATACTTCCTTTATACCTTCCCCTTTCACCCTTCCCTCGTCTCCCCAAACCCTCTCCTCCAGAGCCTGGAACGGAATCCAAGATCTCAGAGTCTCACCATTCCTCAGCTGTCAGCAAATATCTGTGAAACCCACTGGCAGAGTGTCCCACCCTCCTCTACCGCTGGTCCACACAGAGGATAACAACCTACTATTGCTCTCAGTTACTTCGTTAGCCCAAGTGGCAAGGGTCCTTGTGTTGGATCTAAAGTTTCCAATCCTGCTGAGGAATCATGAGGGTGTCAATATAATTCCACAAGATGGAATTTTTGTCTATTCAGTTTTCTTTTTTTTAAATCTCGGAAATTACATAAAAACGATGTTAAAAGAACATTGTCTGCAAAGTCTCATTCAAAAGTTAGGAATTGACAGTATTAAGGTTGCTTTTGCAACTTTAATTCAGTTGCCTTGTATATATGCATTAGAATAGTCTGTAATTGTGTGATCACATACTTTTTTTCCCCTACAGAACCGCTGCCTCATTCAGAACACAGAATGGACCATGCTCTGAGATAAATCAGGGTTGTATAGGGAAGGGGGCTGTTGTCTGTAGGATCCTTGCCTCATTTGTTGCAGAAATTGGAAGGCATGTACTGAAGGAAGCAGGGAGTTGCAGGAAGAGAAAGGATGGTTAAGGCTGCCCTGAAGAATTAGATTCTATCCCTGCCTCTGCCACAAAATGCCTATGTGATACTGGGCAAATGACTTAATAGAATCATAGAAGATTAGGGTTGGAAGAGACCTCAGACGTCATCCAGTCCAACCCCCTGCTCAAAGCAGGACCAACACCAACTAAATCATCCCAGCCAGGGCTTTGTCAAGTCAGGCCTTAAAAACCTCTAAGGATGGAGATTCCACCACCTCCCTAGGTAACCCATTCCAGTGTGCTTCACCATCCTCCTAGTGAAATAATTGTTCCTAATATCCAACCTAGACCTCCCCCACTGCAACTTGAAACCATTGCTTCTTGTTCTGTCATCTGCCACCATTGAGAACAGCCAAGCTCCATCCCCTTTGGAACCCCCCATTCAGGTAGTTGAAGGCTGCTATCAAATCCCCCCTCTCTCTTCTCTTCTGCAGATTAATAAGCCCAGTTCCCTCAGCCTCTCCTCATAAGTCATGTGCCCCAGCCCCCTAATCATTTTTGTTGCCTTCCGCTGGACTCTCTCCAATGTGTCTACATCCTTTCTGTAGTGGGGGGCTCAAAACTGGACGCAGTACTCCAGATGTGGCCTCACCAGTACTAAACAGAGGGGAATAATTACGTCCCTCGATCTGCTGGCAACGCTCCTACTAATGCAGCCCAATATGCCGTTAGCCTTCTTGGCAACAAGGGCACATTACTGACTCATATCCAGTTTCTCGTCCATAGTAATCCCCAGATCCTTTTCTGCAGAATTGCCGCTTAGCCAATCAGTCCCCAGCCTGTAGCAGTGCACAGGATTCTTACGACCTAAGTGCAGGTCTCTGCACTTGTCCTCATTGAACCTCATCAGATTTCTTTTGGCCCAATCCTCCGATTTGTCTAGGTCACTGAGGACCCTATCCCTACCCTCCAGCATATGTACCTCTCCCCTCAGCTTAGTGTCATCTGCGAACTTGTTGAGGGTGCAATCCATCTCATCATCCAGATCATTAATGAAGCTGTCGAACAAAACTGGGGCACTACGCTTGATACTGGCTGCCAACTAGACATTGAGCTGTTGATCACTACCTGTTGAGCCCAATGATCTAGCCAGCTTTCTATCCATCTTATCCAATCCATACTTTTTTAACTTGCTGGCAATAATACTGTGGGAGACCGTATCAAAAGCTTTGCTAAACAGTCTTTTCACAGGTGGTCACTAATTGTGTGTTCCTTGTTTTTTTGGGGGTCTGACTTGAGACCCTGGGTCTGATTTGCAGAAGTGCTGAGTACTCACAGCTGCAACTAAAGTTAATGGGAACTGTGCTCTGAACATATAAATTTCTATATAATGCTAAGTACTCTGAAAAATAAGATCCTGGGTGTTTCAAATTGGGCACCCAAAATGAGTGCTCACTTTTGCCCTTAATCTCTCTCTGCCTCAGTCACCCAGCTGTAAAATGGGGATAATACCATCCCCTTGTTTCACAGGGGTGTTGTGAAAATAAATTCATTGATGCTTGTGAAGTGTTCAGATACTGTAGTGATGAATGTCATAGTAAAGTCCATGCGAAAATTAATTCTGCCTTCAGAGCAGGGTTTGAATAGTGTGCAGTAAATTACAGATATTTGGGGGCAGATATTAAATTACAGGGAGCAAAGAAAGTATTGAATAGCTGCTTATTTAAAGAGCCCCCTCTGTACTGTGCACTGAATGAAATGGGTCCTGTGGAGCAGTATGTGATCATGTCACTTAAGATTGTGCCATAATGCATGTGCACAAGGAGGCAGAATTTCTGGCATATCCTAACTTGTGAGCGCTTGGCTTTGCAACCTTAATGTAGTTTTTATGTGTGTTTATTATGAATACTGTATTTAAGTGACCACTGATTTTGGGTGCCTCAATTTGAGACAATTTGGGCCTTTCAGAAGTGCTGAGCACACACAGGTCCAGCTGAAGTCAGTAGGAGCTGGGGGGGATTCAGCACCTCTGAAAATCGGGCTGAGAGATGTCAAAAATCCAAGGGTCTCTGTCAGTACCAGGGCTATAAACACACAAAACCCACACTCTAGTCTCCTATGAAATCTCCCCCTGTGCTGACCCCACTGGATGGGTTAATTTTTCAATGTGGAAAGGGCCAAAAATCTGTCATTTCAGGGAAAATCAGTAGAAGTGGAGGGTCTGTGTCAGCTGCCCTGACCTGGGAAAGCCTCAGGGCAGGGCCCTAACTCCCCTCTCTCTCTCTCTCTCCTCCGATAGGCTGGAATAAGCGGATTGAGTACACGCCAGGTGCAGGTAGTCTGGCACTGTTTCCCAGCATCCACCTGGAGACATGCGATGAGCCGCTGTGGAACATCCAAGCTACAGTGGAGCTGCAGACAAACCACGTGGCCAAGGGATGTGACCGTGACAACTACTCGGAGAAGTCGCTGCGCAAACTGTGCGGTGTGCATTCCTCCTTCCCCAAGCGGAGCCAGGGAGTGGTGGGCAGGGGGAGGGGGATTACCCTCCTTCACCCCTCTGCATGGGGAGCCACAGTGACATCCCCCACACCAAGGGGAGCCAAAGGGATGCAGCCCTTCCAACTCCTGCACCAAGTAGAGCCCGGGGAATACCTGGCCCACCCCCAGCACTGAGAGGGGTCATGAGACACTACCCACACACCGAGGGGAGGGGACCCCTTACACCTTCCTGCAGCCCCTGCCTTGCGCGGAGTCATGGACCCATCCCTCAGCACTGAGGGGAGCCACTGGAAAAATTCCTGCATTCTTTCCACCAAAGGAGCCATAGGCAGCTCTCCCTGTCCTTCTCCTGATATCTCCCACTGTCCTGAGGGGAACTGCCAGGAACCTCTCTGCATCCTCAGAGACCCACTGCACCTTCCCATCCCCATGTCATACTCCACCCAGCCCCTTCTGCTCCCCATCCCTGTGAGTCGGTCTCTGTCTTGACGTCTGTCTCTATCTCCGTCCTTCCTTCGGTAGGTGCTGCCTCAGGTGAGGTTGACCTGCTGCCTGTGCCCAGCCCCCTTGCCAACTGGACGGCACGGCTCTCAGTGCATTACAGCCAGGACAGCAGCCTCATCTACTGGTTCAATGGCAGCCAGGTGGCCCAGGTGCCTGTGGGCAGTGGGATGGGTGCTCATGAGGGGCTCAGTGACCACTTCACCCTGTCACTGTGGATGAAACATGCTGTGGTGCCTGGGAAGGGCAAGAAGGAGGAGGAGACCGTGATCTGCAGTACGGTGCAGAGTGGTGAGACACCCTGGAGATAGACCCTCTTTCTGTGAGACTGATACTCCCCACCATGAACCCATCAGAATAGACTCTCCTTCCAAATAGGAATCTCTTCCTAGCTCCAGACTAGAATGGACCATTCCATCATGGTGGGATTCTCTCCCTGCCCCCTTCCCCAGCCAGGCGGGGCTCCATTGTAAGTTCTGGGAGCAGCCATCCCCAGGAGAGATACCCTGACCATGTTGCAAGGGAGAGGGGAGTGGAATGGTTTCTTCTGCACTACTCTGAGTGCAAGGCTCATGTCCTGTGTGATGAGTGGGTGGGATCTCAGCCCAGTTGCTCAGGCTAACCCAGCTCTCTAAGGGTCCCAGGATAGTGCTTTGTGGAACTTTCTTCGATCTTTCATCTCCCTCTATGCCCCCTCTCCCTCTCTGCAGAGGATGGCTACTCTCACTACTCCCTGGCTGTGCATGGCTGCCGAATTGCTTTCCTATATTGGCCTTTGCTGGAGAGTGCGAGACCGGTCAAATTTCTGTGGAAGCTGGAGCAGGTGAGGAAGGATCTGGCTTTCTCTGTCTCTCTCTTTCTCCCTTCCTCCGCTTGCTGATCTCTCCTTCTGCCTGTTACAGGTCTGTGATGATGAATGGCACCATTATGCCCTCAACCTGGAGTTCCCCACCGTCACGCTCTATGTGGATGGTGTGTCCTACGACCCCGCGCTCATCCATGACAATGGCCTCATCCATCCCCCAAGGCGGGAACTTTCCCTCATGATCGGAGCCTGCTGGGTTGGTGAGTGCCGCCCCCAACACTGCCCTGATGAAGGGATGGACTGGAGAGGAGGCAGAAGGGTCCAGAAGATGTTCTACCTAATGCCAAGCAGTGGCCAATGGAATGAGAGCACTATGGCCAGCTCAAGAGGCATTCTCAGCACCAAAACCAGTGTGGTGCCCCCCAATGGACCAACCCAACAGTATCTTGGTGCAACTCAGTGGGCAATGGCAGTACAGGTAGCATCCCTGTGCATAGGCGCTGACTCTGTGGGTGCTCCAGGGCTGGAGCACCCACGGGGAAAAATTGGTGGGTGCTCTGCACCCACTGGCAGCTCCCCTCCCCCCCTGCCCCAGCTCACCTCCGCCTCCACTCTGCCTCCGCTTCCTCCCCTGAGCACGCCAGGGCAAGTGCTGGGAGGGAGGAGGGGGAACGCAGCACGCTCAGGGAAGAGGTGGGGCTGGGGCGGGGATTTGGGGAAGGGGTCCAATAGGGGCAGGGAGGGGGCAGAGTTGGGGCAGGGACTTTGGGGAAGGGTTGGAATGGGGGCGGGATGGGGCAGGGGCGGGGTGGAGTTGGAGCGGGAGATGGGGGGCGCAAGCACCCACCGGCGCCGGAGAAAGTTGGTGCCTATGTCCCTGTGGATAACTGCACCTGCAAATGGATCCCCTCTAGGGTCAGAGAGGAGTTCAGTCTCTGTAGTCATTCAGTTCTTGGCCTCTGCTAAGGCTTCCAACAAAGAGGCCACTCAGTGCCAAGAGTGATGCTGGTTTCACTGATGAGGGTTCCTATATCATTAGGAATTGAACTGAGATACCGCAGCTCATTCCAAATGGGAGGCAGGGTGAGAGGGCTGTGAATGGTGTCAGATAGGAAAAGATTCTGTAGGCCACTACAGACTTGGGGTCAGATTGGAGCCAAACGCCCTGGAGATGAAAGGCTCCTTTCCCCAGTTCCCTGTTTCCCTGCAAGGTATATTCCAGTCCCTCTGCTCAGAACCCTCAGGACTACAAACAACTAAATGTAGCTGCTGTCTATCTTCTCCACAGCAGAAGCTCCCAGTAGGACTGAGCCCCTCTTGCGGTCATGCCTCCTCTTGGTCAGAGATCCTATTATAGCACAGCACCCTCTTGCCATGTGTAAGCCACAAAAATTGTTCAGCTGTCCTGTGAGTTCCCCCTGGAATTATCTAGCTTTCAAATGGAAAAGCTAAGTGGCCTGTGAGAACTGGCTAAGATCAATAAGAAACATCAATTTATTAAGTTCATAAAGTCAATATTGTTTGGAGGCAGAAAAAATTCCATACATTCACCTCCACATCTGTCAGCCATCCGACTGTCCCCTCCCTGCTCTGCAACGTGAGGCCTTTGCGATTGAAGGGCCTAGTTCTGAGCAGTGTGTGCCAGCCAGGTGTCTCCCTCCTCCCTGGCTGACACAGCTTTCTCGTCTTTTCCTGACCTTGTAACCCACCTGCTCCCAAAGGCTGATGCTTAGTCAATGATCTGAATGTTTTCCTCTTGCAGAGGAAAAAAACAAAGAGAAAATCAGAGGGAACGAGAACTCCACAGATCCTACGCAAGGTATGGACTGGAGTGAGGAGGATTGCCCCCTTCTTCACCACGCATGACTTTCATCCGCTTCTCGCATGGCGTTTGTTCCATACAGCTCCCTCCCCCACCCCATCTTTTATGGGAGGAAAACTCTTGTTATTTGGCAGCATATTGATTTCTGTGGAGCGTGAGAGGACTGGTGCAGGGATCAGTGGAGCCTATTTGGGGGAGACTCAATATGTCTATCCTGTGGGAGACAAGTAAAATAATCCCCACTCCTGATCATTGAAGCTGGTCACTGAGGACAGTGGGGGAAATGAAGAGCAGGGGACACAGAAAATGCAACCTCACCCTAAATTATCTAGTGGGAATTTGACCTTCTTTATGCCCTCATGGAACCACAGTGAGCAAAACAAGACTGGGTGGGGGAAACCATCTCTATCAAGGGCTGTGTCTTGGCAGACACTTCTCTCACTCTCTCCACCCTTATCTGCCTTAGTGTCTTTCCTTCTATCTGGGTTTCCCAGACACTTTCTCCCCCTTCCCTTAACCCCTCCTTCTTGTTGTCTTTGTCTTTCCCCATGCCACGCTCATCTTTGTCTCTCTCTACCTCCCCCATTCCTGTCTCCCTCACACTCTCACTTTCCTTCTCTTCATCTCTGTTGCCTCTCTCTCTCTTGCTTCCCCCCACCCCCCACACTGTCTCTGTCTCTCACATCCTCCTCCTCCTCCTGTGTTCCCCTTAGGAGACCCTCTGCTGATTCACCACTACTTCCATGGTTACCTGGCTGGCTTCACCATGCGCCCCGGCAGCCTGGAGAGCCGGGAGGTGATTGAGTGCCTCTACGCCTGCCGTGAGGGGCTTGACTACAGTGACTTTGACAGCCTTGGCAAAGGGATGAAGGTATGCCCCCTCCCCAGCTTGCATGAACCTCCACCACTCTCCCCTTCATCCCTGTCTCCTGCCACACCCCAGGAATCTCCCTGTACTCCTCTTCTACATCTCTTAGTCTAAAATCAAAGCATCCACCCGGGATTCTTCAGTCCATTCTTTCCTTTTCCCCCACAGGTTCATGTTAATCCCTCACAGTCCCTGCTCACACTGGAGGGTGATGATGTGGAAACCTTCAACCACGCAATCCAGCATGTGGTTTACATGAACTCACTGCGCTTTGCCACGCCTGGAGTCCGGCCGCTCAAGCTCACCACCACTGTCAAGTGAGTGCAGGAACTCCAGGTGGAACCTCTCCCCCAGGCAAATTGGAGGGAATCTGCTGGAGTGATATCCTACAATGTATCCCTTCGTAGCTCATGACAAGTAGCACCTCACGCTAAGCTCACCAGTCAGCCAGGACTCTATTGTTAAAATTCACTGCCCTTTGTTGGCTTTTAATTTGGGGTTGATAATCTCAAAATGTACAAGAATAAACCTGAAAAAAAGTAGCAACGTTTGTGAACACTTGCCCCAGTATATTTTGGGAGTATAAATATAGTATGGATATAGAGCCATCACCAATGGCACTTGTGCACTGGCATCTGGTCGGATACCCACCTCATGTTGGGTTGGAGCTTGTGGTGATGACGACATCACAGTGCCATCTCTAAATACAATGATGCAATTCCCAGAATACCACTCTGCAGAGCACAGGAGGTTGTGGGGAAGCACTTAGAAGCTGGCAGTCACAAAATGATCCACCCCTCGCCAACAGTACTGGAAAGGCGAGTTACCCCCTCCAGGATGAGGCTGGCAGAAGTCTGTGTGTAGGTACTAACACTCTGTCCCCTTCCTCTGTCAGATGCTTCAGTGAAGAATCATGCGTCTCCATCCCTGATGTGGAAGGCTACGTGGTGGTGCTGCAACCTGATGCCCCCCAGATCCTGCTGAGTGGTAATGCTCACTTTGCTCGTCCTGCATCAGACTTTGAGAACCCTGATGGGGTCCCCCTGTTCCCTGACCTCCAGGTCACCTGCTCAATCTCTCACCAGGTGAAGGCCAAGAAGGATGAGAGCTGGCATGGCACGGGTAAGTGGGGCACATGGAAAAGGGGCTTACTCACAAACAGGAAATGAGAACACAAAATAGGAAGTGTTGTTACGTAGAAATTGGAAATGATGCCACTAGAACAGAAAATGACGTCTCTTAGTTACAGGAAGTGGTGTCACTACCAACACAGAAACAGAAAAGAATTTTGCTTAGAAATGGGAAACAGTGTCATTGGAAAGACTTAAAATGGGAAGTGACATGCTTAGAAATAGGATGTGGTGTCACTCGAAACAGTTCTCTGTATTCCCATAACCCTGTCTCTTTCTTTTCTTTCCCTGTGTTCCCCTCTACCCCACCCAGTTTCCTGCTTACATACTCACTCTGTGCTCCTCTCCCCATCTGCTCCCACACTTTACATCCCTTTCCCTTTCCAGAATCTATCACCTTACATTTTAACTCTGCCACCCCCTATTTCCCTGAGCTCTCCTCAGTTTTCTCCTTCTCTTTAGTCTCCCTCCTGCTCCTCACATGTCCCTATCAACCTTAATCTCCTCTAACACCACACATTCCCCTGAATCCCCCCCATCTCCTTCACCACACAATGCTATCTTGCTTTTCAGCCTCCTCCTGCATCCCCTTCAGGTTCCCTTCCTGCACCCCCCAGTCTCCTGCCACTCTCCTTCAGCCTCCCTCCTGCTGCCCACATTTCCTACATTGCTCTTAGCTTCCTGTCCAACCTACCTAGAGCTACAGCCATCTTCCCTGAGGACAGCCTGGCTTCAGTTCCAGTTAAAAGAATGGGGATTAGGGGCCACTTTACTAGGGCAGCCTCACTTCCCCATGCAATTATGGCTGACTTGACTGAGGATAGGTTGGCTTTAGCCCCATTGAAAGTAATGAGAGATGGTGGCCATTTTGAATAAGGGAATATTTAAAAGAGTTATGCCAGCATTTGTAAGATCATTATGTGGAATCTTTTTTTTTTTTTAAAGTCTCATGTGTCTGAGCTGGTAACACTGCAGTATCAACAGAACCATTCCAGGCAAGATGTACTGTCACTAAAAATCCCCAAAGTGGCTCATTGTTAGAACATGAAGTGATTGTTTTAACAAGCAGAAGCAATGTCATTAGAAGCAGGAAGTGGCAACCCCACCAGCAAATAACATGACAGACACGAAGATATCACTCACAGTGAGAACTGCCAACAGAAAGTGACATCATTGGCATGATGGCATAGTGCAGCACAGATGTGTTGTGGACAAGGTCTCTTATTAACTGGGTATCATAAACGCTGTCCATTTTGAGCACTGGTTTTGCTTTTTTTGATCTCTTGACCCATCTCTACGCCTCTTAGTGACAGACACACGAATGTCAGATGAGATTGTCCACAACCTGGATGGCTGCGAGATCTCCCTGGTGGGAGATGACCTGGACCCGGAGAGGGAATACCTGATCCTGGATGGAGCATCCCTGCAGCAGCGGGGCCTGGAGCTCATCAACACCTCTGCCTACTTCACCATCACAGGTAGATTCTCCCCGGACAGGACTTTCTGGTTCCTGTCTCCTCCACTTCCTGCCAGTCACAGCCAGGAGAATTGCTTACCAGACGTTAGAGATGGAGAAGCCTCATCACACTGATTGAGACCAGGGGAGGATTGGTCCTGTCCATCCATTCCCTGGACTCTTGGTTCTTAGCGTCCTGAGTGATGGGGTCTAGCTCTGGAAAGGGAGGCATTACCCCAGGCTCACAGTGCTGGAGTATGGGATCTGAGTTCCTTTCCTTTGATTCAGTTGCACTCTGTTTCCCTCCACCTGTGGTATGCACTTCTCCATTCCAGAAATGTTTTCCATGCTGCCTGTGGGTGGCAGTGGACCCCACTGGTTGTGTGCAGGTGCAATTCCTAAGGCAGGGTTGGAACCTGACACGTGACTAGCTGCTGGACCCTTCCTTACCTTCCCTGGGCATTAATGACAGCCACTAGGGATTTCCTGGGCCCTTTGAGGTTGCAGACACCTCAAGGGAGCCACACCTAGCTCTGCTCCCTTTTAGGTATGAGCCTGGTTTGTCCTTCCCGCACAGCTTTTCTTTAGACTCAACAGTGTTATGTAGGTGGACCGTGATCATTTCGAAATGGGAGCTCTCTTACCCCACACCTGAATCTCTCTCTCTCTCTCTCTCTCTGCCCCTGGCCCCAGGCGTGGAGAGCATTGCAGTATACGAGGAGATCCTCCGCCAGGTCTCATACCGCATCCGCCATGGCGCTGCCCTCTATGAGAGGAAATTCCGCCTTTCCTGCACCGAGATGAATGGACGCTACTCCAGCAACGAGTTTACTGTTGAGGTACAAGGCCATCAATGACTGTGTATGTGTGAAGGCCAGGTCTCATTAAATCCAGAGACTAACTCTCTTCCTCTTCCACAGGTGAACGTCCTCCACAATATGAACCGGGCTGCTCATCCTAACCACATCCTCAGCTCCCAGCAATTCATGCACCAAGGTCATCACCTACCACCAGAACTATCTGGGCACAGCCTGGCCAACGTCCATCGCAACTCCAGTATGCAATCCTGATGATTTGGTGACAACCTACACGCAGAATTACCCCCGGGGGCATATTTGTGTAGAAACCTACAGTGACTCCCTGTTGGCATTTCAGGACTGACCCCAGTAGTAGGCAGCACTATGCTGCAAGGAGTGGTGTGATTGACTGAAAAGCAGGGGGTGCTCTCCCCCAGAGTAGGGGTGGCTCTGGTGTGGTGCTAGGGAAGAGGTGTGATTCAGATGAAATGTAAATCTGAAGCAACAGCTCCTCATGGTCACTCCTCTCACAATAACCTGACTCAGGGAAATAAACCCTGGGCTCCTCCAGTACTGGGTTTTGCCATCTCCCTCTATTCCTCCCTTCTTAGTTTTAATCACCTAAAAGATTCTTCTTGGCTTTCTGTCATTCATCAACTACCAGAACTCAGCCCAGAGGTGGCTGCATTTTAATGCTTGGTGCAGTGGTTCCCTCTGTCAGTATGAGGTTGGTTGATGTACGTAATAGTGCTTTGTGATCCTCCTCCAGAAAGGGGGAGTCATGGGCTGGCCCTGCTTCATTTTACATTTCTCATAGAAACTCTGCACAGGACTGATTAATGCAATTCCAGAGATGCCTCAGCAGCAGGAGATAAATTTAAAGAGCAAGGCCAGGCTGAAGCTGATCTAAGAGGAGAACTGGGATTAGAAGGCAGTGAACCAGGTAGAAATATACAGGGAAGCAGCTCCAGACAGAGAGGGGGCTGCTGCAAAGGAAGTGGTGGCTCTTGCTGCCAGAGGTGATGGAGAAGAGCAGGGAAGGGAGCAGAGCAGTGGCCGGATTCATTGGTTTGCTCTGCTGCTTTGTGCCACTTTGCCAACACAAAGCAGCCATAGAGCCAACTTAACTGGCCCCTGGAGGAGAGTGAGTGTGTGTGGTTCCTGGCTTCTAGAAGTCTGCTGCTTGCAGGATAGGGGGCGGCTCATCAGGGCCGGCTCCAGGCACCAGCCTACCAAGCACGTGCTTGGGGTGGCACCTGGAGGGGGGCGGCGTGGTGCGGCGCTCCAGCCCGAGAGCAGGGCCGCGACTGGGCTCACCGCCCTCCCTGCGGCGCTCCAGCCGCCGGGAAGAGCGGAGCCACAGCTGACTCGCCGCCCTCCCCCCGGCACTCTGGCCGCCGGGGAGAACGGAGCCCCGGCCGGGCTCTCTGGCCGCTGGGGAGAGCGGAGCCCCGGCCGGGCTCTCTGGCCGCTGGGGAGAGCGGAGCCCCAGTCAGGCTCTCCGCCTCCTCCCGGCGCTCTGGCCGCCGGGGAGAGAGCGGAGCCCCGGCCGGGCTCTCTGCCCTCCCCCCGGCGCTCTGGCCGGTTGGGGACAGTGGGCCTGCGGCCAGGCTCGGCACCCTTCCCTGCCGCGCTCCCCGCCGGGGGGAGGGGAGGGCAGCAGGAGGCTTTTTTGCCTGGGGCAGCAAAAAAGCCAGAGCCGGCCCTGCGGCTGATGCAAGGCTGCTCCAATTTGCACCAGGAAGCAGACCACTACAGGCATGACCTGAGGCAGCTTAGTGCCACCTTTGCCCCTCCCTTCCTCCGCTAAACTCACAGCAGTGCAGCCAGCCTAGAGAAGCTGCCCCTAAGTGTGCGATACTGACTGGAGCTACTCCATGGCGGTTGGGGGGGCAGAGTACTGAGAGCTTATAAAGGCAGTGAGGATGGGACATGCTTGGCATGCGGCCAGGTGAGGAACAGAGGCAGATTCCTGCAGCTGGGGCTGCCATAGAGCAATACCCAAGTATCCCTGGCCCCTCACAGGTTAAAGGCAAGACTGTCCAGGTCAGATGTTTGTAACTTCCTTATCCCTCCCCCTCCAGTGGTCCCCAGCGCAGCCACCACCATCATCATAGTGTGTGTGGGCTTCTTGGCACTCATGGTCATCCTGGGCATCCTGCGCATCCACTCTCTGCACCGCCGGGGGGCTGGGCACAAGGCCCCAGGGGCTGCCGGGGGAGGCCATGCAGGAACCAGCAGCAAGGAGAGCGACATGTTCTGGGATGACTCAGCCCTCACCATTATCGTCAACCCCATGGAGGTGAGATGGGAGGAGGAAGGTGGGGTTGGTTTCCAGGTGGCAATTGATGCTCTAAGTCAGGGGTGGGCAAACTTTTTGGCCCAAGGGCCACATCTGGATATTGAAATTGTATGGTGGGCCATGAATGCAGACAAAATTGGGGGTTGGGGTGCAGGAGCGGGTGAGGGCTCTGGCTGGGGGTGCAGGCTCTGGGGTGGAGCTGAGGGGTTGGGGGTGCAGGAGGGTGGGACTGAGAGGTTCTGATGGCAGGAGACGTATCAGGGCTGAGGCAGGGTGTTGGGGCATGGGAGGGGTCGGGGTGCAGGCTCCAGGCAACACTAACCTCAAGAAGTTCCCAGAACCAGCAGCATGTACCCTTCTCCAGCTGCTACACGGAGGCGCCGCCAGGCAGCTCTGCCCCATCTGCAGGTGCTGCCCCTGCAGCTCCTATTGGCTGCGGTTCCCGAAGGCACTTGGGGCAGGGGCAGCATGTGGAGACCCTGGCTGCCCTTACATGTCGGAGCCAGAGGACATGCCGCTGCTTCCAGGAGCTGTGTGGAGCAGGGCAAGCCCCAGACCCTGATCCCTGGCAGGAGCGCAGGACCAGATTAAAATGTCTGGAGGGCCGGATGCAGCCCCTGGGCCGTAGTTTGCCCACTTACCCCCATAGACAGCTGCAGCGGCACAGGAGCCAGCAAACAGAGCTGTAAACAGGGGAGTTTCAGTGGGAGTTCTGTTGGAGGAGAAGGTTTTTGTATTTTGTGTACTGTATTTTGTAGTTTTATATGTGTGGAGGCTGGTAGGGGCAGAGTGCTGGGAGAGAAGCTGAGCCCTGATTGGGGGTGGGGCTTCTCTGCTTAGGGGTCCTATAAAGGTAGCCAGCCAGTCAGGCAATGGCATAGACAGCTGCAGCGGCACAGGAGCTAGCAAACAGAGCTGTAAACAGGGGAGTTTTAGTGGGAGTTTGTGGGGGAGACTAAGAGAGGCAGGCAGAGGAATAGACAGGCTAGTGAAGGGAGGGGGTGGTGTTGTGTTTTGGTGCCTGTTGTGGTTTTTTTCTTTCCTGGGGGTGGTGGTGGTTTTGGTTTGTGTTTCCTGGACTAACAGGTTTTAGGTGGCAAGACTATGACTGATACAGAGGCAGCAGTTTAAGACACAATGAGGATGACTGGATGTGGAAGCTGCGGCATGTACATGATCCTGGAGGTGGTATCTGAAAAGAGTTTCGTTTGCATGAAGTGCCACCTGACAGAGCTGATGGAAGAAAAGATCCGAGGATTGGAGATGCAGGTGGAAACTTTGGTCGAGTTTAGAAGGGGATTTGAGCAGATGATGGAGCAAAGACATGAGGAGGCTGAAGGAAAAAGCTCAGACTTGCAGATGGAAACAGGACCAAAGAATTCTGAGGGGAGACTGCTGGGTGAGGAAAGTGGACAATGAAAGCATGTGACTAAGAGAACCAGACAGAGGAAGAGACGGGCTAGTGAAGGAGAAATAGAGCTCAGGAACAGGTTTGTGGAGTTGGAAAATGAAGAAGGGGCACAGCAGGTGGTCGCTGAAGGTGAGAGGGCAAGGAAGAAGAGAAGGGCAGCTAGTCCTATAGGAAGAGAGGAAGAGTCAATGGAAATAACTCCAAATATGAGCCCCAGGAGGAGAAGGGATGGATTGCGGAGGATTGCAAGGGACAATAGAAATCAAGAGGACTTGCAGCCAGAGGGAGCAGGGGATAGACCGGAGAATCACATCGTTACCAGGAAAAGGCAGGTCTACGTGATTGGGGACTCCTTACTGAGAAGAATAGACAGGCCTGTAACTAGAGCTGATCTGGAGAACAGAAGGGTGTGCTGTCTGCCAGGTGCTAAGATACGGGATGTGGACCTGAGGCTTAAAAGGATCCTAATGGGAGCGGGAAAGAATCGGCTGATTGTTCCTACATGAAGGACAAATGATACGGCTAGATTCTCGCTGGAACATATCAAGGGAGACTATGCCAAGCTGGGGAAGATGCTTAAGGAAATCGAGGCTCAGGTGATCTTCAGTGGGATTTTGCCTGTTCCTAGAGAAGGGCAACAAAGGTGTGACAAGATTATGGCAATCAACAGATGGCTCAGGCAGTGGTGCTATAAGGAGGGCTTTGGGATGTATGGCCACTGGGAAGTATTCATGGACAGAGGACTGTTCTCTCGGGATGGACTTCACCTGAGTAAGGAGGGAAATAGACTTCTAGGATGGAGGCTGGCACAACTGATTAAGAGAGCTTTAAACTAGGAATTTGGGGGAGATGTCCAGGTAATCTCCACACCGGAATTTAACATTGAGAAGGAAGAAAACAAAGTAAGAAAGGATACAGCCGTGGGTATGAGAATGAACGTAAGGAGGAAGGGTTGTGTAGATACCAGTCTAATAGGTGATACTGGCGGTAGAATGTCTGTGCCTAATCGGGTAAAGAATGTCAGTGAAGCCAAAATGGCAAAAATTAAGATGTTTGTACACTAATGCAAGGAGCCTAGGTAACAAAATGGAGGAACTAGAGCTACCGGTGCAGGAAGTGAAACCAGATATTATAGGGATAACAGAAACAGGGTGGAATAGTAGTCATGACTGGAGTACGGGTATTGAAGGCTATGTGCTGTTTAGGAAAGACAGAAATAAAGGCAAAGGTGGTGGAGTAGCATTGTATATCAATGACGAGGTAGACTGTAAAGAAATAAGTGATGGAATGGATAAGACGGAGTCTGTCTGGGCAAAAATCACATTGGGAAAGAAAGCTACTATAGCCTCCCCTGAGATACTGCTTGGGGTGTGCTACTGACTGCCAGGATCCCATTTGGATATGGATGGAGACCTCTTTAATCTTTTTAATGAAGTAAACACTAATGGGAATTGTGTGATCATGGGAGACTAACTTCCCAGATATAGACTGGAGGACAAGTGCTAGTAATAATAATAGGGCTCAGATTTTCCTGGATGCGATAGCTGATGAATTCCTTCACCAAGTAGTTGAAGAACCAACAAGAGGGGATGCTATTTTAGATTTGGTTTTGGTGAGTAGTGAGGACCTCAGAAGAAATGGTTGTAGGGGACAACCTTGGTTCGAGTGATCATGAGCTAATTCAGTTCAAACTAGATGGAAGGATAAACAAAAATAGATCTGGGACTAGAGTTTTTTATTTTAAAAGGGCTAACTTTAAAGAATTAAGGAAATTAGTTAGGGAAGTGGATTGGATTGAAGAACTTGTGGATCTAAAGGCAGAGGAGGCCTGGAATTACTTCAAGTCAAAGTTGCAGAAACTAACAGAAGCCTGCATCCCAAGAAAAGGGAAAAAATTCATAGGCAGGAGTTGTAGACCAAGCTGGATGAGCAAGCATCTCAGAGAGGTGATTAAGAAAAAGCAGAAAGCCTACAGGGAGTGGAAGATGGGAGGGATTAGCAAGGAAAGCTACCTTATTGAGGTTAGAACATGTAGGGATAAAGGGAGAAATGGTCTGAGTTAAACAGGATGAAGTTTAACAAAGACAAATGCAAAGTGCTCCACTTAGGAAGGAAAAATCA